AACGGCGTGCAGCCAGAGAAGTCTTAAGAGATGGAGATGAGCCTGGAGGTGCAGCTGATGAGCAGCCAAGCAACATAAAAAGAGAGATCTGTGGAGCCATTGAAGTGCATTTCCAGCAGTTGTTTCTCATTAGGGTCTGGCTCCTGAGATCAGCCCAGAAGAAGCTCCTGAACCTCTCTGCTTCTATAAACACTTCTCCTCTGGTTCCTTATGCTCACCTACGCCAACACGTCTACGTGGCCTTTAGATCTCAACAAATAACGCCATTTAACCTCAGCAGACTAGTGTTCACTTTGGCCCTTCTCTATCACATTTTAAATAGATTTTTGGTAACACTTTATATTAAGGTACACAAATTAACCATCAACTAGTTGTCAATTAACATGCATATTAGCAGTATATGGCTCTTTATCAGTCATTATAAAACACTTATTAATGCCTTATTCTACATGACCATATTCTACAAGTAATAAGCCATTAGTTGAGAGTTTTTCCTCAATAACCCTCTAATTAGTGCTTATTTATTGCAAGTAAGGAAGTTGTTGTACATGAGTTTTGGTCTTAATATGCGCTGCTCAATATGGGCCTAATAAGGCAGTAGTACCACAAGAATAGTAATTCTACCACAATAACACTTAACAAATATGATCTATTCTTATGTAACAAGACATGCAACTATAAGTGTTAATTAAGTCTAAATAACTCAAAATTAGGTATTTATATCTAAGAATATGTTCCCTATTTTAAAGTGAAGTCTTGTTCATAACCAATAAGCTAGTAGTGTTAGGGTGAGTGAAGCAGGCAGGACCCAAATGCAGAATAAACAGAAAAAATACCTTTATTTCAAGGTTTAAGGAACAAACAGAACACTACACCACCGTCGTGAACACAGTCAAACGACAAACAATGAACCGACAAAGACAGACAGAAAAACCAGAACTTAAATACACACAAGACTAATCACACAAACAAGACAGGTGAGGAGGGAGGAGAAAACACAGGGGCACCAGGTGAACACAATCGGGTAATCAGGGAGGGAAAACAGACAGACAGCAACAGGCAAGACAGGGGGTGAAGACTTTTCAAAATAAAACATGAAACCAAAGACAGAAAAAGACAAGACAAAACACAACACAGAAAGATCGTGACAAGTAGTTTGACTCTAATTGACCTGAACAGGTTCCCTATTCTAATGTTGCCTCCTCTTCACACTTTGTAAATACATTAGAGCACACAACTACTGAAATTAACCTCAACAGTACATGAACAAAGTAGGCACACGTTGAAATATCTGTTTTATCAATGAACCTCTAAAGAGAGGTTCAGACACATGTACCAAAACATGTCAAGTTTCTCCAAGGCTGAGAACACATAATGCAGCCTGTACTTTTTAATAAAAACAGATTTTATGTATTTGTGATCATACTGTGTGACCTGCTTGTATGCACTTACACAATAGGTGTACTGTTCTCTCTATGTGTTACTGTCTCAGTGTGAACATAGATTAAACAGCCAGCCAAACTCTCTTGACAGACAGGGAATGAGCAGCCATGCTCCTTTATTGACTTATTTGCAGTCCACTGACATTCAAACGGAGTGAAACTATAAAAAAAGAAGATACAAGGCACTTAATGATCTCATACATGAAAGTGTAACATACACAGATTAACACATAGGACCACTAAGTGTAAACAAGGTAAATATAGCTAATGCTAGCAGTGCAATAAGCATGTGTGCAGGCTAGTATGGCTAACGCTAGCACGTATGCTAACGTTACCGTATATGCTAACGCTAGCGTAAATGCTAACGCATTTTCTCATTGTGTTTAAACAGGGCTGCCAACATTTGAGTTCAGCTTGGAGTGATTTTTTTTTTGGTGAACCGAAAAAAGAAACGTTCATGTGTACAGTGTTACATATTGAACATGTACAAACTAGGGCTTCCCATTAATGTACCGGGCGCTACAGTGGAATACGCACATACACAGTGTACCCGCGACTCTTAGAATGAAGGCTCGATAATCAGCTCACAGCATATAAAATGACATATAGGTGTAAGCAGAGGTAAAGTGCTATTTTAGAATAATAATAAATTATATTTCTATAGCGCTTTTCTTGAACCCAAAGACGCTTTACATTTGGGAGGGAGGGTAGACAAACAAAACAAAAAGAAACAAAGAAACAAAACAAAGGTTATAAGTGGGGGGAGTTCTCACCTCCGGGGGCTCCGGGCGCATGCTCCCCCAGGAAGATTATTTTTGTTTTAATATTGAAGTTAAATGCGTCAACCTGGTGCATTTTGAGAGCAAAAATGAATTTAAGGATACATCTCTCAACACCCATATGAAACAGAACTGTACACAGATTTTCTTTTTCTTTATGGATATTTTACAAATCACTTCCCTTTTAAACTCTATTCTTGTTTTACTGTCATAGTATTTCATAATTGTTTTTCATTTATTCTCATAAATGGTGTCCAAAACGTTTGAGACCCACTGAGATAACTAGACTAAAGTTAACTATCTAAACACTGAGAGAGTCCTTACCTCACTGAGCTGTAGTTATCTCTCAGTCTGACAGGACAGAGCTCTCCCTTTCCTTGTTTGAGAAACAGCTTCTAATATCCGTTAGCGCAGCTAGCTAACCAGATGCTAACAACAGCAATGCAAATAGTAAGTTTGGTAGAAATATACTGTATAATAGTAAAGTTATTTAAGATGATGCCATATTCATTGAAGATTTACATTATAAATATTCTCCATTATTATTCAAAAGCATATTCTTCCAAACTCCTTGCTGTAGTATGACACACAGGAGACTATTAATGTGTGTAGTGAGTTTGGTAGTAATATACTGTAGTGATTGAATATTATTATATTCTCTTTTTTCGGAGTTCCACTTTGCAGACGGTCCCTGAGCACTCGTTTCTTCTCCGGCTGCGAATAGAGACCAATGTAATGTGTCCAGCTCGGAGGACGGCACGTATTGGCTTTTTTTGATCAAAATGTGATTGTAGTTCGGTGTCAACCTTACCCAGGGGCGGTTCTAGGGGGGCAGGGGGGGAAGTGCCCCCCTAACACTGACCTCTGACCCCCCCCTGTGGCCCCCCTAACAATGAAAAGTTTTTTTTAAGTTTTTTTTTTAAATGTATATTTTCTGGTACTCGGTTTGCTAAAAACCGCAGGATTTTGTTGCTGTAATGTGAGATTGTGCAGACACCCTTATGTAAAGTAGAGATGTAACTGTTCATTGCCTTTATTTTTATATAAATATGGTGTGAGTGTAAACATTGCACTATAACTTAAGCTGAAGCTAACAGTAATAACTATAAGATCTATCTGAAATAAATAAGTGTACTGAAACAAATACCAATAACTGTATTGCATTGTTTTCTTATGCGCAATTACTTCATACTGTCTAGTTCTCTTTTTCGTCCTGCATTTATTGTGCCCCCCTCAGAAAATAACTGGCCCCCCAGTGGCCCCCCAGTCAAATTGGTCTAGAACCGCCACTGACCTTACCACGGTACTTAGGAGACGTCATTTGTGTCTGAATAACGTTTTGTTCATGAGTTATTGATCCGTGAAATCAGAATCTCCCAATATCGTTCCAACTTTACTGAACTAAGCCAGAAGACCGTCTCATTTCGTAGACCGCTCGGTTTGCTGTTCCTTCACTTTATTTTTACATTTATCTTAGGGCTGTCAAGTTAACGCGTTAATATCATGAAACAACGGGGCAAACACCTGCAGTCCTGGCACTCGGAAGATCCCTGAAAGGCCCACTGGAGAGGTTGATCAGCACTCCACCTCCACCTCATCAACCTACATATACACTACTGGAAAGACAACAAAAAATTGTGGAACAAGTAAAAAAGAGAGTTGGGGTATGCCAAGCCAGACAAGCCAAGTATCTGTGACAGTCGCAGGTTGATCTAAGTGTTTCTTATAAACTGTAGTGGCAGGTTAAGGCATGTGGTTTACATTGAAATTAAATTAAATCTATGATACATGTGTATTATCCTCGCAACTACAGTTGTTAAATGTCCACTTGTATGTACACTGTAAAAAAAGATTGTAATTTTACAGGAAATAATTGTACATTTTTATAGTAATTATCATGTTTTTTTAAATAACTTGCAAAATCCTGTAAAATGACAGATATTAACTATAAATTAACAACCCAAAACATTATTTTAAGTATTTTGACAATAACAACAAATAACATTTATTTCCTTTTTTTTACAGTAAATGTACTATATAATATTTACAGTATTTTTGCATTTTCAGAAAATACATGCAGATGTACGTAAAATAAAAAGTATTATCTGTAATTAAATATGTAACTCGTAATATAAAAGTGTATTACCATTATAAGACTTTAAGATTTTCTTTGTAATTTTAAGGTAAACATAAAACTGTAAAAAAAAAAGCGTCAAATAAAAAAAACGTAAAATGTAAGTAAAACATTTTTACATAAATCATTTTCTCAATATTCGATTGAATCCACCACAAACACAAAATATCCAATGTTGAAACAAAAGTAAATAAATATGTTTTCATGAAATTCCTAACTTACTATATTGTAAACATCTACAGTTGACAATATCATTAAACAAAAATAAAAATCATAGAAAGTGGAGAAATCTCTGCAGGGAGGACCAAGGTTTAAAACACACACTCTTATTTACTCAACAATAAGTCACAGTTATCCTTGTTTTATTTATGTTGTTGTGTTTTTTTCCCCATTGGTCAATATACAGTAATAAACCTTAATTTTACAGTATAATGTATGGTTTTCGGATTCTGGCCGACAGCCAGGCACTTGAAATAGAATTCAGCCAAAACACGGCAGATAAGTCAGGCATGTTTGGAATGAGTCCACAACACTCCTGATTGGTTAATATAAACGTAATCGAAGAAACCTGCCAATGAGAACTGTCCGCGCCTGTCGTTCACATATGAAACATCCACGTCAGTTTGAGCGGGTCTCCTCCTGCGAGCTACAGCTGTCTGTATGTTTGCTATAGGAGTTTATGGATTAATATCGGGATCGTTTTACATCTACACGTTAAATATGAGCATCGGGACGTCAACAAAGAACAGAAGACTTGAGATCTGGTGAGTCCTGCAACTGTAATGGAGTTAAACATGTATTTAGATAATCCTTAGTTTGTGAATGTTTTATTTTTTATTTAAGGTTACGTTTCTTCTTCTAGTTAGCTGAGTTTCTTCCCGTTAAGTTAGTATGCATCATTAATAGGTTGTTAAATGTTAAGAAGCCCTGAGATGCTGTTTCTTGCCAGATGTTGCGCCCGGGAAACCCGGCTTAACATGTGGCTGCTAACGTTAGCTTACAGCTTATTGCAGTGCTGCCCCCCCCCCCCCCCACACCCTCTCGTATCCAACACGGGAGAATTACACATAAACATGCAGCAGGGTGTCACAGTGTTGTCGCCAAGTTTAATGTCAAGTTTCACAGCTTTCTTACAGCGGAATCTAGTTTGTTAATGTTCAGTAGCCAACAGCTAGCATAGCATAAACAGCTAACCGCTAACGTTCGGCTAACTTGCTAGTTAGCTCTGCTCTATATATTACCCGCTAACATGACTAGCTAATGTCACACTGTGTGAACTAAAATACTTTTTGTATTACTACATCATACATGCTTGGTCCAAATCACTGCTAAAATTAATTATTTTTGAAAATGTATAGTAAGAAACACTCAGCCATGCATGAAATAACATAGCAAAAGAATACGGGTAATGTTTGACCCATGTTGTCTCTTAGAAGTGTATTGATACAAACATGATTTTTATTCAAAAAGTAAGAAAGGGAAAAATAAAAATTTGAATTGGTGTTGATCTAAAACAGGTTAATTGAAGAATCCCTGGAATCCTGAATGGTTAAAGTAATTTATTGCAAAGATATTTACAATTAAAACTAATTCGGGTCACTTTTGACACATGTTGGTTGTATGTTGTGTAACAAAGGGTTAACATGACGGCTGTGATGTTCACTCTTTCGACAGAGCACCAGTGGACAGTGAAGACTATGGAAGAGAAGATGTGATGGCTTTGTGTGGAAAGCTGCTAACGCCAGCCTGTGTCCCTCTCATCAGTCTCTCCAGGCAGCACCCAGCTATTCTTCCATCTTGCAGATGAAAATACTTTGATATGTGAGTAATAACTAACTTGTGTCTAACATAATATTGAATGTGGTTTAGTAAAGTATTTAAAAATACCCCACATTGTACATGTACAGGACAATCAGACCTTGTGCAACAAAGATCATCAGACAATTGTTTTGTCTTTGAGGTACAGCTGCAGCAGAGAGTCTGAGTTTGAAGAAAACACTAACATTTTATTTAGTGTTGTTTAATCAATCAATATTTACTGGTCTTGAATTTCCTAACTGGATTACAAAATGCTCGAATCTTATTGTACAGGGACATTATGCAGATTTCATCACCTGAAGATAAAAATATAGATTCAGCGATATGTACCATTTTAAGGAAATGGACTGTTAGTGGTATTGACCGAAGCTCCGCAGCTGTAGCTAGGCGCTGCTAATGAAAACTCAAGTGCTCAATTTGTTGGTTTTTCTTTTTTATTAAGAATTGACATATCTTCCTCTTCGAAATCCCAGTTGTACTTCGCTAACACGCAGTGCCTGGGAGGGTGCGTTTGATTGTTCCCACAATAATGCATGCGCTTGTGCTTCAAAGGTCCATCATACAAGATGTAGGGGATCTATTGGCAGCTGCTGATAATAACATCCATCATTATGGTTTACTAATAGTTATCACTTCACTTCCTCCTCCAGCACCTGGACACAGCAGGAACCTACGCCAGGATCCTGTTTGTGGACTTCAGCTCTGCCTTCAACACAATCCATCAGGACCAGAACCTCTGTCCATCAGGACCAACACCTCTCTCCCTCAGGACCAGAACCTCTCTCCATCAGGACCAGAACCTCTCTCCATCAGGACCAAAACCTCTCTCCATCAGGACCAGAACCTCTCTCCATCAGGACCAAAACCTCTCTCCATCAGGACCAGAACCTCTCTCCATCAGGACCAAAACCTCTCTCCATCAGGACCAGAACCTCTCTCCATCAGGACCAACACCTCTCTCCATCAGGACCAGAACCTCTCTCCATCAGGACCAGAACCTCTCTCCATCAGGACCAACACCTCTCTCCATCAGGACCAGAACCTCTCTCCATCAGGACCAACACCTCTCTCCATCAGGACCAAAACCTCTCTCCATCAGGACCAGAACCTCTCTCCATCAGGACCAACACCTCTCTCCATCAGGACCAACACCTCTCTCCATCAGGACCAGAACCTCTCTCCATCAGGACCAGAACCTCTCTCCATCAGGACCAGCACCTCTCTCCATCAGGACCAAAACCTCTCTCCATCAGGACCAGAACCTCTCTCCATCAGGACCAAAACCTCTCTCCATCAGGACCAGAACCTCTCTCCATAAGGACCAGAACCTCTCTCCATCAGGACCAAAACCTCTCTCCATCAGGATCAGAACCTCTCTCCATCAGGACCAACACCTCTCTCCATCAGGACCAGAACCTCTCTCCATAAGGACCAAAACCTCTCTCCATCAGGACCAACACCTCTCTCCATCAGGACCAGAACCTCTCTCCATAAGGACCAGAACCTCTCTCCATCAGGACCAAAACCTCTCTCCATCAGGACCAAAACCTCTCCATCAGGACCAGAACCTCTCTCCATCAGGACCAAAACCTCTCTCCATCAGGACTACAACCTCTCTCCATCAGGACCAGAACCTCTCTGCATCAGGAACAGAACCTCTCTCCATCAGGACCAGCACCTCTCTCCATCAGGACCAAAACCTCTCTCCATCAGGACCAGAACCTCTCTCCATCAGGACCAAAACCTCTCTCCATCAGGACCAGAACCTCTCTCCATCAGGACCAGAACCTCTCTCCATCAGGACCAGCACCTCTCTCCATCAGGACCAAAACCTCTCTCCATCAGGACCAGAACCTCTCTCCATCAGGACCAAAACCTCTCGCTACCTCAACAAGGCCCGCCCCCCCCCACTGACACTTTACCTCAGCCACAACGCAGACTCTATGCATTACATAATGGAGAATAATGCAATGTTTAAATATTGCTTACTGCACATATTTTATATTCTATAATTTATTGCATTCTATTTCGAAGTAAATTATTACTGCTTTATTTTATTTCTATCTTACTATATTTGTATTACAGTGTTCTTAATATAGTTCGCTATCTGTGTACTTTAAAAAATTGTATTTGTATGTACGACACCTAGTCAAATTCCTCGTACGTGTGAACCTACCTGGCAATAAACCCCAGTGTGCGAAAAAGTACACGTCCCACCGTCCGGGACGTGTTATTTACAATATCGGACAAGTAGATCTTTCAATTGACTTGTCCGGCGGACAAGTGACGTTTTTCGCCCTGATTTATTGACAAATTATTGATACATTCAGTTTACAAAAGGCAGAACTCATTCGCAAATTGTACGTGTCCGCCATTGTTCGTTTAGAAATGTTAGTTTCGGTTCTGCTTGTCGATTCCTAAGGAAATGCATCTCGCCGCTTTCTGTACAGTTAGGCGGGGCGGGGCGGGGCGGGGCGGGACCATGGATGTATAATAAGTGGCAGGGTTGGGAAGCAAAACTCGGTTCCGAGTAGGAACAAATAACAATTGCATCAATCCCGGGACCGGACAATTGTTATTTGAGTTGTGAGGACAGGAGGCGAGGCCGAGCCCCGCGGACTGCAGCTCTCTCTATGCTCGGTATCAGCTGATCGCTGCACGGTGCAGCTCAGCGTCTCTCTCTCTCTTTCTACACACAGAGGATCCGCTGCCCGTTTAACAGCCTCATCTTTGTCAAACTTTCTTATGTTCTTTCTCTAACACATAATGAAGGTTATTAAGCGTTTTAGCTCCTGTGTTGTTAATATTGACCGAATGACCGCCATTTCCTTTATGAAGTGAAGCAGCCTCCCTGTCTGTGTCCTCGCGCTGTCCTCACATCCCCGGACCCCCAGACTCGGAGGAGCACAGGGATGTCAGTATTGTTTATGAAGCAGGGTATAGAAAGTACATTATTGAAATGAAAATACTATTTATTTACTTTTGCAAACAGTGAGCAGCTGCAGCATGTGTATTGCAGGACATGTGTAAGCGTCTTTGAGTTTTAGAAAAGCGCTAGGCCTATAGTCTATAAATATAATGTATTATTATTAGGCCTATGTGTTGGACATGTGTGGTTGGACTCTGTCTCACAGGCAGGTTGCAGCATGTGTGTTGCAGGACATGTGTTGGACACACAGACTGTGTGGTTGGACTCTGTCTCACAGGCAGGTTGCAGTGTAACATCAGAGGAGACTGGGCCAATTGTGCATTCTCAAACTGCACCACTTAGAACTAACTAATCAATGCAGAGATTATTTTTATATAATTGTATTCAATAACCGTAAGAAATTAAACAGTATGAAGTGATTTGTAAATAGGAATACAGATTTGACTTAATGTTTTCATAAATATATTTTTCTCCCAGTTTGTCATGGGACTTATTTTTACCCTCTTAAGAACCGGAATCGAGAACCGAAAATAACTGGAATCGAAAAGCAGAACCGGAATCGTTCAAATCCAAATGATACCCAACCCTATGTGTGATGCAGTAAAATCTTACCGCTCACTTACGTTAGCGGTGTCGTAAAAAACGTGGGAAAATGTAAAATACGATGATGAAGAAGAAGATTCCAGTGGCCCAATTTATGTCCATTCTGGACAAGTGAAAAATGTATTCGGACAAGTAAATTGCCAAACTCACTTGTCCATGGACAAGTACTCTCTAAAAACTTTTTCTCACACTGAACCCGTTTCTGATTCTGATCTTTTTGTCCTCTAGGTTGCACTGCCACGTCTACAGTAGCGCAGAATGGACAGAGGAAACATGATTGGGTCTCAAGTTTTTTGCAACCAATATACATTCTCCTACAGACTTGGGATAGGAGTGAACAACAAGTTATCCATTGGTTGGAACCTACTAAATCCTGCACACTGCTCCTTCAAATTAACAATGTGAACATATGTCGCCATTTTGCAATTTCTGTTATTTTCAGTTGAGAATGTTTCAAAGTAATCTTAAAAAATTCGACTTACTTTTTGTTCCTACTGTTTATAAGTATAATGTTTAAATATGAAATGCTGTATTCATTAGTTGTACTATAATTCTACAAATATTGTGGAATGTTTCCTACAGAACATTTTGTGATGTCATTTTGTTGAACCTGTTTGATTGGAAAATGTTAGAAAGCTGTAAAATAACAGTATTCTAGCTGTAGAACTTTGGGTTCTGTATTTATTTTAGTGTTTGATCATACAAATCTAATAAAAACAAAATGTAAAAAACTGTTTTTCTCATCAGAACTTTATTTAAGGTATTTTAATGTAACATTTTAAGACAATGGATTTTGAAAAGAGAGGAACGTTTCCTGTATATTAATTGCTTTTGCACTTTATTTCAGTTAAAGTATTTTTACTTTAATTTTATGGTTTTTGTTTGGCCGCTGCTGCCAGTCATTTGACCGTTTTTTTCCCCGTAGAAGTTTTAGTGCTGTACTTTTATTAAAGGTTATTGACTGTAAAAAGAGGAGATACATCTGTAAAATTACAGTGTTTGCACGTTAAAATATTAGTGATGTACTTTTATTAAAGGTTATTGACTGTAAAAAGAGGAGATAAATCTGTAAAATTACAGTGTTTTGACCTGCACAACTTTCCTCACATGCAGGCAGAACTTCAACGTCAGAGCAAAGACGTCAAGCAGATTGACAGTACACGGTATGAAGAGCAAGTTCAGAGCATCTTGACAGAATTTGAGAGACGTTTTACTGACTTTTCATCCATTGAACTCATTGCCGGCTATCTGTGTTTTCCATTTGGTGGAAGTATGGATGTGGATGAGATCGTCTCCAAAGTAAATTCACTGTTTGACCTGGATAGCTCTGCTGTTGAGAATGAGATGCTCACACTCTCAAATGATATTGACATCAAATCCAGCACAACACCTGGCACCAGTGGACAGTTCTGGAACCTGCTGTTGGAACAAAAGTATCCCAACCTCAGAAGATGTGCCTTGAACTTGACGGCACTTTTTGGGTCCACCTATTTGTGTGAGTCTGCATTCTCTCACATGAAGATCATCAAATCCAAGTAATAATAATAATAATAGATTTATTTTCTTAGCGCTTTTACAGGTGCTCAAAGACGCTTTACAGATATAGTGAAAAGAAAAGAACAACAAATAAATATATATATATAGTTAAAGTTAGAATAGTCAAAAAGTCAAATAATACAAAAACAATCACACATTAAAAGCCAGATTGAAGAGGTGAGTTTTTGTACATTTTTTGAAGGTGGTGAGGTCAGTGCAGTCTGATGGGTTGTGGGAGTGAGTTCCAGAGGGAGGGGCCAGCGACGGAGAAGGCTCTGTCCCCCCAGGTCCGGTGATTGGTGCGGGTGGGGATGGATAGGAGGTTGGCTTCTGATGAGCGGAGGCAGCGGGAAGAGGTGTGGTGGTGCAGCAGGTCTGTGATGTAGGGAAGGGGTGTGGTGGTGCAGCAGGTCTGTGAGGTAGGGGGGGGGGGGCTGATTGTTGAGGGCTTTGTGAGTAATGAGGAGGACTTTGAAGTCGATTCTTTGGCGGACAGGGAGCCAGTGGAGGTTCTGGAGGACGGGAGTGATGTGGTCTCGGGAGCGGGTGAGGCAGCAGAGTTCTGGATATGTTGGAGTTTATTGAGGAGGTTGGATGGTATGCCGTAGTAGAGGATGCTATTGCAGTAGTCGAGTCGTG